GCGTTCGGCCCTAAAGACGCGGCGAAGCTCGTGCTCCACGGCGTCCACGGGGACAAGTTCGAGGAGAGCTTCCGCCTCAGCGAGGACCCGCAGTTGGCAAGGGTGCTGCCTGACAACTGGGCCATGAACGAGTCCTGGGCCTTGCACGTCGCAGTGCTGTGGCCGATGCCCGACTCGACGGGCAGCTGCGACCACGAGAAACAGCAGATCGCAATCGAGCGCGGCAACTACGAGGACGACGACCAGCTGAAGCGCGCCAAGCAGCTCGCGATCGGTCGCGACCACGAGGCCATCAAGAGATAGCAGTCCAAGGAAGCCTACGAGAAGCAGCGAGCGTTTGTCGAGAAGCCGCGGGGTGCGAGCTCGAGCGGCAAGGGGGACGACGGCCAGACGAAGTGGGATAACTACGACGAGTTCAAGTGGGGCGATTGCGGCGACCAGAAGGTTAACGAGAGCTCCCACGAGACGGACAAGTCCTACGAGACCGTCGAGTGCGGGCTCGTGCGCAAAATGCTGGGGGCACGGCTTCAGCGCGATGGCGACGGCGAAGACGGCGACGACGAAGACGACAACGCGGCCAAGGTCGTGGGCCTTGGCCCGCGGTGGCAAAGAGCCTGGCGCGGGGGGGCCATGGGGTCGTGGGCCCCATGGCTGCCAAGCTCGTCCTCCGACCGACGATGACGACGACGACGACGACGACGCCCACCGCCAGCCCGTCAGTGCGCCTGCTGCGGCTCGACAACAACGAAACCGCCAACAACTTCCGCCGTCCGCGGCGCAGCGGTCTTCCGCTCAAGCTAACGATATACACCTCCACCTCCACCTCTTCCGCTTTCCTCCAATTCCCTTTTTCCCTCCACCGAGCGGTATTCCGCTATTAAAAAGTATCCCGGCAAAACAACCTAACAGCGATGTGTAGGAGCATATCTGGAAGCATTCCCCTCAATATTCAAATGCGAATCCAGTTGTAGAATTCTGCTGTTCTCGCAATCGTAGTCGCATTCGCGATGACAGTCGCAGCGGCAACGGCAGTCGCAGTCACAGCCTCAGCATCAGCCTGCCTCAGCCTCAGCCTCAGCCTGCCTCAGCCTCAGCCTGCCTCAGCCTCAGCCTCAGACTGCTTCAGCCTCCGCATCAGTCTGCCTGCAGCCTCGGCCTCAGCCTCCGCCTGCCTCAGCCTCAGCCTGCATCGGCCTCAGCCTCAGCCTCAGCCTCAGCCTGCTTCAGCCTCAGCAACAGCCTGATTCAGCCTCAGCCTCAGCCTGCCTCTGCCTCAGCCTCAGCCTGCCTCAGCCTCAGCCTCAGTCTGCCTGCAACCTCGGCCTCAGCCTCAGCCTGCCTCAGCCTCAGCCTGCATCAGCCTCAGCCTCAGCCTCAGCCTCAGCCTCAGCCTCAGCCTGCCTCAGCCTGCCTCAGCCTCAGCATCAGCCTGTCTCAGCCTCAGCCTCAGCCTGCTTCAGCCTCAGCCTTAGTCTGCCTCCAGCCTCGGCCTCAGCCTCAGCCTGCCTCAGCCTCAGCCTGCATCAGCCTCAGCATCAGCCTCAGCCTGCCTCAGCGTCAGCCTGCCTCAGCCTCAGCCTGCCTCAGCCTCAGCCTCAGCCTGCTTCAGCCTCAGCATCAGTCTGCCTGCAGCCTCGGCCTCCGCCTCCGCCTGCCTCAGCCTCAGCCTCAGCCTCAGCCTGCCTCAGCATCAGCCTGCCTCAGCCTCAGCCTCAGCCTGCCAGCCTCAGCCTGCCTCAGCCTCAGCCTCAGCCTCAGCCTCAGCCTCAGCCTCAGCCTCAGCCTCAGCCTTCAGCCTCAGCCTCAGCCTGCCTCAGCCTCAGCCTCAGCCTCAGCAGCCTCTCGCCTCAGCCTCAGCCTCCTCAGCCTCAGCCTCAGCCTCAGCCTGCCTCAGCCTCAGCCTCAGCCTGCCTTCAGCCTCAGCCTCAGCCTCAGCCTCAGCCTCAGCCTCAGCCTGCCTCAGCCTCAGCCTCAGCCTGCCTTCAGCCTCGGCCTCAGCCTCAGCCTGCCTCAGCCTCAGCCTGCATCAGCAGCCTCAGCCTCAGCCTGCCTCAGCATCCGCCTGCAGCCTCAGCCTCAGACTGCCTCTGCCTCAGCCTCCTCAGCCTGCTTCAGCCTGCCTCTGCCTTCAGCCTCAGCCTCAGCCTCAGCCTGCCTCAGCCTCAGCCTCAGCCTGCCTCAGCCTCAGCATCAGCCTGCCTCAGCCTCAGCCTCAGCCTGCATTAGCCTCAGCCTCAGCCTGCTTCAGCCTCAGCCTCAGTCTGCCTTCAGGCTCGGCATCAGCCTCAGCCTGCCTCAGCCTCAGCCTGATTCAGCCTCAGCCTCAGCCTCAGCCTGCCTCAGCCTCAGCCTGCCTCAGCCTCAGCCTCAGCCTGCCTCAGCCTCAGCCTCAGCCTGCTTCAGCCTCAGCCTCAGTCTGCCTTCTGCCTCGGCCTCAACCTCAGCCTGCCTCAGCCTCAGCCTGCATCAACCTCAGCCTCAGCCTCAGCCTGCCTCAGCATCAGCCTGCCTCAGCCTCAGCCTCAGCCTGCCTCAGCCTCAGCCTGCTTCAGCTTCAGCCTCAGTCTGCCTTCAGCCTCGGCCTCAGCCTCAGCCTCAGCCTGCCTCAGCATTCAAAATGTGGCCCGGGAATGACGTTCTGGGAACTCGAAGAACACGAAGTGGGCCTACAGTTGGCTCGGGGCATCCAAAATCATGCTCAAGAATGGAGTTCTGGGAACCCGAATACCACGAAGTGGCCTACAGTTGGCTCCAGGCATTCCAAATCATGCCCAGGAATGGAGTTCTGGGAACTCGAAGACCACGAAGTGGCTTACAGTTGGCTCCGGGCATTCAAAATCATGCCCAGGAATGGAGTTCTGGGAACTCGAAGAACACGAAGTGGCCTACAGTTGACTCCGGGCATTCAAACTCATGCCCAGGAACGGAGTTCTGGGAACTCGAAGACCACGAAGTGCGTTACTGATGGCTAAAAAAGGAGTCCCCGGATTCCCGCGGGAGTCCCCGGATTCCCGCGGCACCCGTCCGGCGTCTGCCCAGACCCTCCTGGGGAGTCATGCTGCTCTCTTTTGAGACCACTAGAAACCTATCAGTCTCCGCTGTTATGTAACAAAAGCGCCGAAACAACTCAAACAGCAAACACAACAACTCGAAACCAAACAACATGCCAGAAGCATGTAGTTTGATATCTAAGCGTGTCAGCTCCATAAGTTCCATAAGTTCCAAGCAACCTAACTCCAACACGCAACATGTGTACACATATGTGCATTTGATTTGCAAAATGTATGATATCGAACATGCCTTCCATGTAAATGAATTGTTGCTCTTAACTCAATAAATCTCCACACTTGTGAGTACTATCCATGTTGTGTTTGTTTGAATAGATATCAGTGCCAATCAAGTAGAGTTGTAATCACTATTGTCGCTCAAGTGCCGTCAGTTGTCTCAGGATGGTCACAACATCGGAACATCGGAGCAGTCCCTGCACACGGGGCGGAGCCCAGGTGTAGCAAGGGGAGCGGCCAGAGGCTGCAGCGGATTCCAAGGGCAAGGGAGCCGCCCGCAGGTCGGCACGCAGCGCACAGGGAATGCCACTGCGGCCTGCGGGCTGTGCAGATCGCCACTGCGCTCAGGTCGGGCATGTCCTCCTACAGGCGGATTCTAAACGAAAAATTAAGAACACTCAAGAGTAATTAAGAGATCATCCCCCCAGGCTTTTTCTACTATTTTGGACTATTCCTCCTGGAGAGGGACATGCCCGACTTCACACTGCGTTGAAGTTCCCCACTTGGCCTCCGTCAGAAGACTCCAACTGGGAGCTGCTCGAACTGAAGCCGTCAGCAGCTGCCGGATGGCTCCCCGAATCAGTCGCCACTGCGCCCAAGATCCCCGCCGGCCCCCGTCGGAAGACTCCAGCTGAAAGCCACTCGAGTTGAAGCTGTCGGCAGCTACCGGATAGATCCCCGAGTCAAGACGCGCTGGCGAGCCGTACTGAGCAGAATCCTCCTCCTTCCACCACATGTACTCTGCATCCTGCCTTGTCTCAAACCTCTTTCCTCCCTCCACCACCTTTGCCATTGCTTTCTGACCATCCGCCTACTCGTCCTGTTTCCTGAATATGATTGTCGCCCTGCTCCTCGCTCCTGCCACTCCTCCTGATCACACTCCCTGCTCCTTCTGTCCGCGTCCCTATCCGTACCCTCCTCCACCCCTCCACCCTTTCGCACCCTCCACCTTGGCCTTCTCCTCATACATCCGAGAATTCTGACGGTGTGAGTTATCACAACGGGAGCACCCCGGAGGTCTCGACCCTCTGATCTGTTCAGCCTGGGTCGTCGTTTGACGGTCCCGAGGCACGGCGAAGTCAGCGCGGACCTCCAAAATCTATGTGTAGACCTATTACTATGCTTCGAAAGCGCCCGCCACGACGCATATACTGTAAGATTTCTCGGTGCTGGTTCGCCCCGGGGAAGGGCCACGCACACATCGTATCAGTATGATGGGGTGACGCCGAGGCCAGGGAGGCAGGAGAGCCCAAAATCGAAACGACAGTTCGGGTCGGCGATCGAAATGGGTCGGATCGGCGGCAGTCGACAGCCAAGTCCGGAGAGGCCGCCTCGGCGGAAAAATCGCAAGGCTGGCAGAGCCTCCAGTGAGACATCGGACTCCCACTCGGCATCCGACGCCGAAGCGAGACGGAAGCTGACCCGATCGAAAGCGAACCGAATCAGATCGGAGGAGGCAAGCGGCAGGAGGAGAGGCGGAGCGGCAGGGAGGAACGGCAGGGGGAAGAACATGAGAATAACAACTCGAATGCCAATAAGAACAATACTAGCAATTCTACGGAGGATGACAGCAAAACCACGAATTAGAATAAAGGAGGAGAGGAGCTGCGGGAGGAGCGGCCGAGAGGCAATCGATCAAGGCGGGGAGGAGGAGCGGCAGGGGGGCCGAGCGCAGCGGCCCGGGCGCCGCGGGGCTCGGCGCGGGCGCGGGCGCGC